TGTTGACCAGGATGGTCTCGATCTCTTGACCTCGTGATCCACCCGCCTTGGCCTCCCAAAGTGCTGGGATTACAGGCTTGAGCCACCGCGCCCGGCCTTAGGGTAATTTATTACAGGACCCTGTTGCTCGGTTAAATGATGTCCTAAGATAGCAAAGAAAAGGGACCTGATAATAGTGTGTTTTGATCCCATTAGTCATAGCAGGCGTTACCATCTGGGAAAAGCCTATGGGTTGAACGTCATATCTTTTTTTTATATTCTTACCTTGGAAAGCCAAAGCCAACCTTTAAGGTTTCCAGAGAGGTCTTTCATTTGAGCAGTGCAGCAAGTTTTCCTTTTTAAAGGATCACTCTGCTACAGTTGATGCTCTGTGGCAATAGTAGAGGAATTCTGCAGGACATGGAACCAAGGGAAGCAGACGTTTCGGAGGAAGGGCGAGTTCATTGAGGATAGTAACTTGGTCTTCCAAATTGTGATTAAATGATGGTAGTGAGTCAGTCAATTTACTCTCTCCCAAGGTTCGAGGTAGTGGCCAGTGAGGTCGTGGAGCCTAGTGAAAGAGTTAGTAGAGTTGCCCGAGATGGAGGAGGCTGCAGAGGACAGCCCCAGTGAGGAGAGCAGTGAGGCCTTGGCTGTGATACCTAGCGAGGACCTGGCAGTCCCTAGTGAGGATGAGTCCAGCACAGGATATAGCCGGGGCCTGGGTGAGCCCCCCAGAGAGGAGTGTGAGGAGCTGCTGAGCGAGGAGGAGCACAGTGGGCCAGAGCCAGGGGCGCTGCCAGCCCCACGATAAAGTGTCAAGGAGCTCCCCGGGCTGGACTGACTTAGTGTATATCTAAAATAAAATGGTTTTCTAGTGCCTCGTTACTGTCCTTGGCCAGATGACCTTTTGCTGCCTTGGAGATAGAACTGAAGAAGCAAGAGAGGGGTGTGGCAGCCCTGAAGCACAGGCCTGCGGTCTCGTAGGCTCTTTCCCTAAAAGCCAGAGCACAGACCTTGAAGGCAGCCTTTGGTCTCTGTGTTTGATCCATGTGACAAACTGGGGACTTAATGTGTCATCTCGTACTCCTGGAGGCTGGCCACGTGAGACCCAGGTGTCACAGCATGGGTTGCTTCTGTGGCTGAGGGGTGTCCCGCCCCAGGCCCCTCCCCAGCTGTTCTCTCCCTGCATTTGCAGGTGGGTGGCCCATCCAGTCTTCACATCATCTCCTTTGTGGCTGTGTCTCTGTGTCCATTGATTCAGTGTTTCAGAGACCGGGTCTCACTGGGTTGCCAGGCTGGCCTTGAACCCCTGGGGTGAAGCAATCTTCCTTTCTTAGCCTCCCAAGGAACCGACTACAGGCATGACCTACCATGCCCAGCCACAAGTTAATTCCCCCTTTTTTTCATAAGGACATCATTTATATTGGATTAGTACCCACTTCAGTGATCTTTTTTTTTTTTTTGAGACGGAGTTTCACTCATGTTACCCAGGCTGGAGTGCAATGGCACGATCTCGGCTCACTGCAACCTCCGCCTCCTGGGTTCAGG